CTCAGCAGCTCCAGGCACAGCACCCCCCGGCTCAGCACCCCCAGTCTCAGCACCCTCCGCAGTAGCACCCCCAGGCCCAGCACCCCCGCGCACAGCACCCCCAGAGTCAGCACCCCCAGGCTCAGCACCCGCAGTAGCACCAGAGTCACCAGTAACCTCGACCGGGTCAACTGCGTCTACCTGGGACACACCTGGGGGGGCAGGAACCTGAGGGGGAAGGGGGTCTACCGGAGGAGGAACCGGCACAAGGAAGTCCGGCGGAGGGGGGAGGGAAGGAGTGCGGTAGGGGAAGAGGCGGTAGAAGGGGACTGACTCGTCGAACGTGACGTCCTGGGAGGACAGAACACGACGAGAGGAGGGTTGGTAAAACTGCCACCCTGGAGCGTCAGTGGGGAAGCCAAGGAAGACACAGGGAGCAGCACGAGGGGACAGCTTGTCCGCAGACAAGTCGCGGACAAACGCCCGAGATCCCCAGACACGGAACGCTGACGCATTGCCAACCTTCCCCGTCCACAGCAAGACTGGGGACATCGCGGGCCGAGAGACCCTGGGGTGAAGGTTGAGCTGATGCGCCGCGTACCTCACCGCAAACGGCCACAGAAAATGGGGGGCAGCCGCATGCATCATGGACGTACGAGCGACATCCATGACCATGCCAATGCGGCGCTCAGCAATCCCATTTTGCTGTGGAGAGTCCGGAAGCGTGAAGGTCTGGCGGATCCCCCGTGCACGACAGTAGTCTTGCAGAAGGCGAGAGGAGAACTCTCCGCCTTTGTCCGAGTGCAGACGCAGAACAGGAAAGTCCGAGCCGAAGCTCTTCCTGAGCTGGAGACGAGCCTCGCTGATCCAGTCGATCAGCACCTCAGTGACAGCACCCTTGCTGCGCAAGGGGAGGACTGTGCTGTAACGCGAGTAGTCGTCAACCACCAACAGGAAGTAGCGCTCGTGACCCTGCCCACGGACGGGGGCTGGGCCCCACACGTCCATGTGAAGCGTCTGCAGAGGAGCCTCTGTCGGGGGGAACTGGGAGGAGTGAGGAGTAGCCTGTAGAAGACCCTCGACACAGGGGACACAGGAAGGTCCTGGCCCGGAGGGAAGGGGAGGGAGAGACCGGGGAAGACCAGAGACAAGGACACGGGAAGCCATGCTCCGAAGACGGGGCAAGGACGGGTGGCCAAGACGGTGGTGCCACAGGCGAGTCTCGTGAGACAGGAGGCGACAAGAACAGGGGGCAGACTCAGGACCTGACCGGGACGCAGCAGCAAACACCTGACCTGACGCAGCTACCTGACCAGACGCAGGGACAGGAGGAGACGCAGTGGTCAGGGTGTAGAGGCTCGACCCCGGCCGACGTGAGAACGTGGCCAGGTGCCGGCCTGTGCGTGCGTCCGTGGAGTGGGTCACCCGCTGACTCGCAGGAGTGAACTGGTGAACCCCCGCATCCTGCAGGTCTGCACCACTCACCAAGTTCGTAGAGAACGAGGGAAGGTACAGTCCAGACAGGGTGCCCGAAGGGGCAGCCGGACACGGGAGGACAGTGGAGAAGTGAGAGAGGACAGGACCCCCAGAGGGGTCAGCCAGGGAGACGGCAACCGGCCGGCCAAGCGGCGTGAGGGTGGTGCGGTCTCGAAAGAAGGAGCGAGAAGCCCCGGAGTCAAGTGTGAAAGTGAGGGAGGACGAGGGCGACGCAGTACCTGAGAGCGCAGTCTCACCAGTACCTGAGAGCGCAGACGCACTGGCACCTAGAGCAGCAGCCTCACAAGCACCTAGCGCAGCAGTACCAATGCCCGGGTCGGGCTGGAAACACCGGTAACCCTCATTCTCCTCACTAAAAGTCACAGCATACATAGCAGCAAGGATAGCATCAAAATCAAGACCAAAGATCGCTACACCAGCCCTAAGAAGCTCATCCCAGCGAGGGATCTCACTAGCCCCGGGGAACTGCTGACGCCAAGCGTCCGTCAGGCGGCCAAAGCAGCGCTGGGTGGGGTGGGCACCCCCACACTGCTCACCCGCGCGGTCGCCGGAACGAAGGACGTAGGTGCAAGGACCAGTACCCCCACCCCTCTGACGCTGAGTGTACCACTCACGAAGCTGCTGAGGCGGAGGGATGTCCCGCGAACGCTGCTGCTGCTGCTGCGAGCGCTGGCCACCACCACCGCCGCTCAGCTGCTGGGTACCACCCCGACCAGCTCCACCCCCTCCACCACCACCGCCTCCTCCGCTGCCTCCTCCGCCGCCTCCACCTCCGCCGCTGCCACCACCACCACCGCCGCCACCCCCACCGCCACCTCCGCCGCTGCTGCCACCACCACCACCACCCCCACCACTACTCCCGCCGCCACCCCCACTCCCTCCGCCGCCTCCGCCGCCACCGCCACCGCCCCCTCGAGCTCCACCCGCGCCCTTGCCCCCCTTGCCCCTGCCAGAGCGACGTCTCCCACGAGGGACAGACGCCGCGCCGACCGACTCAAGACCAAGCAGGTCGGCAACAGCAGCAGAGGCAACAGCGGGCAGCAAGGGGGAAGGAGAGCACCCCTCAAAGATGGGGGTGCGAGGGTCACCACGAGAAGCTCCTACAGCGACTATGCTCTTCTCCGCTGCAAGGAGGGCCTTCTCGAGGACGTCGACGGTGAGGGTGGTGGGACAGACTGCGAGAAAGTGGTCCCTGACTACGCGAAGGGAGTCAGGGAGGCGCGCGACTACGTAGTAGAGAGTGATGTACATGGGGGGGGGGGGTTCTTAGCGCAGAACTCAGCAGGAAGGGCGGCGCGGTAGCGAGTGTCACTAGTGCGGAGGTGCGTAATGAGGTCAGCGACAGTGGGAAAGGCAGAGAGGTCAGGAAAGAGGTAGGGAAGCATGAGACGGCTCAGTGCAGCAGTGACAGGGGAGGAGTAGCGCGCAACTACAGCGTCGTACAAGGTCTGGGCACTCTTGTACTGACTAAAGTGTGCGCGCTCAGAGGTAGGGAGGTGGCGACGCACAGCAAGACGTGCAGCAGCATCGCGGGTGGCCCACTGAGAGCGGACAGTGGGATCAGCATCAGCAGCAGGAGCAGGAGAGGCGCCAGAGGTAAGGTCAAAGAGAGAGAGGCCGTCTGCCCTATCGCACTGTAAGAACAACTGCAGGTCGTCTACCCAGACCTCAAAGTCAATGGCGCGACCCTCAGCGTCAAAAGCTAGGACACTAGGGGTAGCCATGACGACGACAGCGAAGCAGTGCAAGCAGTAGGGGAAGAGCACGCAGTGACAGTGTGACTGTGCTCACCAGGCAGGGCAGGCCGGACAACTCTGCAGAAGGGCGGCTCGGCGACTCAGCGACTCGGCTCCCGGGCGGCTCGGCTCCCGGGCGGCTCGGCGACAGGGCGGCTCGGGTGCAGGGCGGCTCGGCGCCCGGGCGGCTCGGCGGCAGGGCGGCTCGGGTGCAGGGCGGCTCGGCTCCCGGGCGGCTCGGCGGAAGGGCGGCTCGGGTGCAGCGGCGGGGCCGGGACAGGGGACGGCGGGGCCGTCAGGGTGCAGCGGCGGGGCCGACTGGTGTAGTGGCGGGGCCGTCAGGGTGCAGCGGCGGGGCCGGGACAAGGGACGGCGGGGCCGTCAGGGTGCAGCGGCGGGGCCGACAGGTGCAGCGGCGGGGCCGTCAGGGTGCAGCGGCGGGGCCGGGACAAGGGACGGCGGGGCCGTCAGGGTGCAGCGGCGGGGCCGACAGGTGGAGCGGCGGGGGCCGTCAGGGTGCAGCGGCGGGGCCGGGACAAGGGACGGCGGGGCCGTCAGGGTGCAGCGGCGGGGCCGACACGTGCAGCGGCGGGGCCGACAGGTGCAGCGGCGGGGCCGTGAGGGTGCAGCGGCGGGGCCGTCAGGGTGCAGCGGCTGGGCCGTCAGGGTGCAGCAGCGGGGCCGTGAGTAGGGGACGGCGGGGCCGTCAAAAGGGGACGGCGGGGCCGTCAAAAAGGGGACGGCGGGGCCGTCAGGTGACGGGGCCCGCGGCAGCGACGAAGAGGCCGCGCGGCCGGCGCGAGGGCGGCGGGGCGCAGCAGAGCCGAGAGGGCGGCGCGGCGCGGCCGTAAGGCCAGCGCGACGTAGGCCCGGGCCGCGCGCGCGAAAAAAAAAAAGAAAAAAAAAAAGGGAGTCGCGCGCGCGACTCGCGGGGGGGCCACAAAAGCAGTGCGACACGCACTAGGGGGGGAGCGCGCCTCGGGGAGAATAGGGCGCGCTCCGGGCAGGAAAAATATCGTGGGTGGGCCCTTAAAAAAAAAACGGTCCTTAGGAAGGACCCGCTCTATACCATGTGAAAAGAATGAATAGGAATGAGAATGACTAAGTCAGAGTTGGGTACAAATACAACCCTGGAAAGCTGTACCCCAAATGTGCTACCCCACTATAGCCTAAAAACATGCATCAGCTATAGTAATCTGACAATAAGCGCCGGCGCTTATGGCCGTTACTCAATTACAAGCGCCACCCCTAAATTTTTTGAACTTATTATAAGCGCATATGCGCTTATATCCGGGGCCATACGGTAACAGTATTGCATAGCTGCAGTAACCGTGACTATTGATATCCTCGACAGTTACCATGTTGCAGTGAATTAACTGTCGCACGGTTACTGGATTGTCAAGGGTCACGACCGTTGACTTTCTCAGACGGTTGACCTTCGGGTGACTCTCGACATTCCGGATGCTCTATATGAGCTATTCCGGTACTGGTACAGTGGAACAGCTTCGGGAATGCTTTATATAACCTTTCGGTTATTCCAATATTCTGTTACATGGAACTATTACCAAGCAAAGCAGTCATCTCGCAACGGCTGAAAGATTATAATTTCATGGAGTATTTCATCGAGATTCCTTGTTGTTAGGGCACATCAGCAACTTTTACCGTACTACATTCTGACATCACCACTGTACAATTAAGTGTCTCCACCCCGTAATGAGGATACTTGCGTGTGAGGTAAATTCGCCCCAATATTGCGGCGTCCTCCATCATTCCAATCATTCCGCCGCGATGTTGGGCTCCGCCCACCCCGCCCATCGAGCCGTCGCCCTGCGCCGCCCAGCCACCTCCGCCGTCCTCTCCGCTGTTCTCGCCCGGACCACCCTCCCACCGCCATCGGCCCCTGTCGCGCGCTCCCCCTCTGCTCACCACGCGCCCCCACCATGCGCGTCTCCGTCCCAGTTTGCCCACCGTGCACCTCCGCTTGGCCGGAGTGATCGGGGGGGGGCAGGTTTGGACGTATGCCGGGGGTTGCCCCGCCCGCGCTTGCCGCTCCGCAGCGTCATCCGCGAAGGATGGTTGCTCCCCGCGGCTTGGCGCGTAGGCAGCGAGAGCCGGTGGCGGGGCTTGGTGATGGGCGCACGGGTGGCAGAGTCGCCAGGCGCTGGTGCGCGCGCAGCAGTGATAGGGGTCAGCAGTGGCGAGGGGGAGGAGAGGTGGCGCGGTGAAGGGGTGGAAGTGGGTGGGGCGGAGAGGGAGGTGGGGGGCGAAGGTGGAGCGAGTGAGCAAGTGGTGTTCGTACGTGCCCCTCGCCCTCTGTCCCTTTGCATGCCTCATGCGCCGCTGTATGCCTCATGCGCCACTGCATACCTCATGCGCCACTGCATGCCTCATGCGCCACTGCATACCTCATGCGCCACTGCATGCCTCATGCGCCACTGCATACCTCATGCGCCACTGCATACCTCATGCGCCACTGCATGCCTCATGCGCCACTGCATACCTCATGCGCCACTACATACCTCATGCGCCACTGCATACCTCATGCGCCACTGCATACCTCATGCGCCACTGCATACCTCATGCGCCACTGCATACCTCATGCGCCACTGCATACCTCATGCGCCACTGCATGCCTCATGCGCCACTGCATAACTCATGCGCCACTGCATACCTAAGCTCGTATTAATCCAGCTGCTCGCCTCCATGCGCCACTCCACACTCTACGCCATGCACATGCATGACCTCATCCTGCCTCCTCACTATCACTCTCATGCGCTGCACGCCATGCCCCACAAGAAGCTTCTATCAATCCATACCGCACATGCATGACCTCACTCTTTCTCCTCTGTGTCGCTCACCTCACCTGGCCTCTTCTCCTCTCTCCTCTCTACCCCTCTCCACCTCCCCCTCTCTCGCTGTGCACCGTCACCCGATCAGGATCCCCCAGCGCTGCCAGCAGCGTTTGAGGGGGTGCAGCAGTGGGTGGTGTTCTCCGACCTCCACGTGTCGCGCCGCAATGCAGAGCTGTGCGCCGCGCTGCTCACACACGTGCACCAGCTCGCCAAAGACAGGTGCACGCCGCAGCAGTGTGTGCGGGAGTTGAGGGTAGAGACGAACTCGGATGAGTGTGGGGTACAGTCGCCTGCAGAGTCTCGCATATTGCATTGGTTTGTTCCATGACACAATTTTAAGTCAAACCATCATAGTCTTGTGTTTTGATGGCATGGCATGGCATGGCATGGCATGGCATCACATGGCATGGCATGGCATGGCAGGGCGGCAGGCGTGGTGTGTCTGGGGGACTTCTGGCATGTGAGGGGGTCGCTGCCAGTGGAGGCACTCAACGCTGTCATGCACGCCATGGGACCCGCCGTGTGGACTCAACCCACCCTCATGATCCCCGGCAACCACGACCAGGTGCCACTGCCACCACCACCAGGTGCCACCACGTCACTCCTGCCATGCTGCTACTTTCTTCATCCGCATTGCTCCATTTTGCCTCCTTCCTCCCTCATTGCCTTCATCACTAGGCGTTCCGTCTTCCCCTCCCTTCTCCTTTCCGAGGAGACACATCCGCCGCTCTCGCCCTCTCACCATCACCCCCCCCTGCCAGGTGTCAGTGGACGGCACGCAGCACGCGCTGGCAGTGCTGGAGCGCATCAACCCGCACATTGTGGTGCTCTCACGCCCCACCGTGCTGCTCGCCGCCCTCTGGCTGCCCTTCCGCCACCACGCCCCCCTCCTCTCCGCCGCCATGCACCAAGCGCTGCACGCCCCCCCGCCCTCCACGCCCCCCATCCGCGCCGTCTTCATGCACGCCGACGTGGAGGGCGCGCGGCGCAGCAGCACGGAGGGCGCCATAACACTTCCAGGGGAGGGGTTGGATCCGCTGCTGCTGCCACCGGGCGTGCCTGTGTACTCGGGCCACCTGCACCTGCCGCACACCGTGGCCAAGGGCGGTCACAGCGTGGTGTACGTGGGGTCGTGCATGCAGCACAGCTTTGGCGAGGCGGGGCAGAGCAAGCGCGCCGTGGTACTGCGGGGCGGCACGTGGGAGCACGTGGAGGACATCCCTCTGCACGTGGGGCCGCGCCACTTCATCATCCCCACCACTGCTTTAGCCTCGCAGCCGGGTGAAGGTGAAGGAGAGTCGGGGTGGCAGGCGGGCGAGGGGTGGCAGCAGGTGGTGGCGCAGCTGCGGGCGGGCGACCTGGTGCGGTGGGAGGAGCCTGGAGGGGCGGCCGCCAAGGACACCAGAGACGCGCTGGTGAGCGGAGCCCACGCCTTTTGAGTGGACGCGCTGGTGAGCGGAGCCCACGCCTTTTGAGTCGACTCAAAAGTGAGCGGAGCCCACGCCTCGTACCGCCTGTCACATGCTGCCAGATGGCCGTCGCTGCTGAGAACTGGACCTTTGCTGATGTCACAGGCCGCTCATCACAGAGGCGCCCGGATCCCATTCATGCCTCACTCCGCCCATGGCCTCGCCGTGTCCTTCCTTCCCCCCCCCCCCCGCCTCGCCCTGCAGGCGTCTCTGCGTGCCACAGGCGCGTTGGTGCAGACAGTGGCATCTCAGGCGCTCTCCCGCCCGCCCCGCATCCTTCAGGCCGACACTCTGGTGGGTGGTGCCCGTGCATTGGGTGGGGTGACACTCTGGTAGGTGGGTGGGGGAGGGAGATGAGCGAGGGTTGACACAGGGGTTTGTGGGCTGAGTGAGGCAGAGAGAGTGGGGATGAGAGCGAGGCACGCACCGCCATCAAGAGGGGATGAGAGCGAGGCACGCACCGCCATCAAGAGGGGATGAGAGCGAGGCACGCACCGCCATCAAGAGGGGGGAGACTCGCCTGTTGTTTGCTTCTCCCCACATCTCTGCAACATTCCATCTGCACCAATAACCCCCTCCCCTTTCCTCTCGCAGGAGCCCTCACGGGTGTTTGCCAGCTACGCCACTGCCGCCCACCTGCCGCCACCCGTCCTGTCTGCCGCCCAAGACCTGCTCAAGGACTTGGAAGTGCCACCCAGACTCATGCACAGCACCAGCGGTGAGGGCAGGGGGCTGGGGGACGGGGAGCTGCACTGCTGGAATGCCATGGACGCCTCACAGGCTATGTCCCCCGTCATTCACTCCTATCTCAACTTCGCCCTCTGCACTTCCGTCCACGCTCCCAATTCCTCCTTACGCCTTCCTATTCCCTCTCCACCTTCATTGTCCTTACTCACACACCTTTTCTCCTCGCTCCACTTCAGTTCATTCTTCCTCTGTTTGCAATCCCGTGCCTCTGCCTGTGACCTGCCCCCTTCAACCGCCAGCGCACGTGTGCCTGGATGCGGTGCATCTGAGTGGCTTCGGCCCCTTCCTCGCGCCCACCACCTACCCCCTCGCTGCACGCGGCATCGTGCTGCTGTGTGGGCGCAACGAGGTGGCGGGGGGGGCGGCGGGCGACAGCAACGGGGCGGGCAAGACGTCGCTGGCCATGGCGGCGCTGTGGGCGCTCACGGGCAGCATGGACGCGCGGCCTGAGTCCCGCCAAGGGCTGCGCATGGCCGATGTCGTGCACCGCAGTGGCCAGGGGGAGGGGGAGGGCGAAGGGGAGGGGGGTGAGGGGAAGGGGCGCGGGAGGAGGAGGAAGGGGGAGGGCAGTGGAGCTGGAGTGGCGCGGGTGCGGGTGGAGGGGAGGGTGAATGGCAAGGCGTTTGTGGTGGAGAGGGAGGCGTCCAGGTGGGTGGAGAGGGAGGCGTGCAGGTGGGTGGGGAGGGAGGCGTCCAGGTGGGTGGGGGAGGACGTGGTGCGGTGGTGCTTGGACAAGAGAGAAAAGCGACAAGAGTGTGGAGAGGAGGGGCAAGGCCTGGACTGCATTCGCCTCACTGCATCGTCCTCCACACTTAGCCCACTCTCCCTCTCACAGCCTCTCCCCTTCTTCCCGTTTTTCCTCACAGAACCTCTTCCTTTGTGCCCACTTTCCCTTGCTAAACCTCTCCCCTTCTCTCCTCTCCCCTGCCTCCCTCCCCCTGTGCGCCCCTCGTGCCGGTGCAGCCGGCGGTCGGCGTTGAGGTTGGAGGTGGAGGGGCGGGACCAGACATGCCAGGAGATCAGACTCACGCAGGAGAGGATCGACGCCCTCATGTGAGCCACTGTGCCCTGTGCTGTGAGCGTGCATGCACTAGTGTCATCTCTATCTTGTGCATTTGTGTGCGGCTAGATTAGCACCTGTTTACCCAATTCGTCAACAATAGCTAGGTGTTGTATTGGATCTGGTCGCACCTGTATGCATGCGTGCATGCATGTGTATGCATGCATTTGTGTGCATCTGTGTACGTGCCCATGCATGTGCGTGCATCCGTGCATGCATGCGTGCGCTTGTGCTGGCACCTCTGTGCATGTGTGTGCATGTGACGGCGTCTGAACATGCGCATGCACTACAGGGACACGTCTCTCCTGTCCCGCACCGTCTTCTTCGGACAGCACTCCACCGCAGCGCTGCTTGAAGCCAACGACGCTGACTTCAAGGCACGCCCGCCCGCTCCCCCTCCCTCTCCCTTGCCACTCTTCATCTTCCTTGCCTCTCCTCATGTCCAATTCCCGCTGCCTTCTTCTCTCCTCCTCGTCTCCCTATTCCCTCCCTCGCTCCCTTGCATGCTTCCTCTCCTCACACTGACATCCGTTCCTGCCCATTCAAATCTATGCTGCCTTCCTTATCTCTATCAACCGTACATGTGCCCTCACCCTCTCCACTCAATCCGCTTCCACGCCCCACCCATCTCTCTCATGCTTGCTCTCCTGCCTCATTCCTCCTGCGCCTCTCCATAAACCCTCGCACCCCTCCGCATCTTGTGTGTGCATCCCTGCGCGGCCCCTCTGCTCGCCCTGCATGTGGCAGGCGGAGCTGAGTGGGGTGGTGGGCATGGACGTGTGGGGGGCGGCCAGGGCGCGCAGCAAGGACGCGGTGAGGGCGCTGCAGGCACGCGTGGGGGAGATGAGGGGCGGCCTGGCGGCGCGCAGGGAGGCCGTCAAGAAGCTGGAGCGCATGGTGGGTGTGGATGGGGCGGGGAGAGGGGGGAGGAGGGTGCAGCTTTGATGCTTCTGAGAAGCCAGTGATAGTGAGCTTGTTCTGCACCGCATCTCCTCGTCACGCCTCATCTCACGCGGCCGTTGAATGATTTCATCACACTCGCATGTGCCTGTGCCATGCCATGCCATTGCACTCCCTGGGTGCATGACATGACCCATGGCCCCTCTTCAGGTGGAAGACGCAGAGGGTGCCTTCAACACCTGGGAAGCGCACAGGTGAGCCTTGCCTTGCCATGCCATGCCATGCCATGCCATGCCATGCCATGCCTTGTCTTGCCATGCCATACCATGACAAACCATGCCATGCCATGCTATGCCATGCCATGCCACACGCTTGTTTCTCAGTCCCTACACCCTCCCACCACTTTCAATCCCGTGCCTGCTGCACCACCTGCCTCATCGCGCTACTTGCATTCCTGATGCATACGTGTTATGTGGGAAAGTGATCTCAAGTGGGATGAGTCAGTGCGAACCAGCGCCAGCGACAACACCCGCTCACCTCCCTCACCCCCTCACTGCCCTCACCTGCCTTCCCCACCCACACGCCCGCCACCAGGGCGGCACGGCAGCAGCGGGTGGGTGTGCAGCAGGTGGGGGCGGAGCAGCAGCTGGCATCGGCCTGTCAGCGCTTGGCGTCCCTTGTTGCCCCACGCCTGCAGGCCGCCGTGGCCCTTTCGCACTCCCACGCCCTCGCCCTGCACTCCTCTGTGCTCGCCTCCCTCTCTGGGGGGGAGGGGGAGGGAGAGAGAGGCACTAGGATGGGGGGAGTGGGTGGAGGCAGGGCGGGGAGGGGCGAGGAGGAGGAGGGGATGGAGGAGAGGGAGCGAGAGCTGATGACTGGGATCGCGTCCCTGCAGGGCGAGGTGGGTGCGAGGAAGGAGGGGTTGGATGTATGGGGTTGAGGGGGGAGGGGTGGTCGCTTGCAGTGTGGGGAACTTGCAAGACTGCTCGCATGCAGGGAGCATGGCATCCTCACATTCGCCTACCGCCTCTTGCCCCCCACACACATGCACGAGCTTGTGGTTGAAGTTGTGGTGGGGATATGTGCCTGCGATGCGATTTCGCATCCCTCCATCCGATCCGCATTCCCCCTTTTCTCTGCAGCTGTCAGCAGTGACTGCAGGGCTGAGAGAGCAGCAGCAGCGGCTGGGGGAGTTTGAGGCGCATGTGGGGGGGGCGGTGGGGGGAGGGGAGGTGCTGGTGTGTGACAGGTGTCAGCAGCCCATTGATCCGCTGCATGCGGAGGAGTGCAGCAGGCAGCTCAGGGCGGAGGTGGAGGAGACGCAGCGACAGCTGGCAGGCAAGCAGCAGGTGGGTTCTCCTTGGGGGTCCGTGTCTTGGTCATGTGTTGCCTGGCGTATGACAGCAAATCCAGCGTCTTATATGTGGTCGTCTTATATGTGGTCGTCTTATATGTGGTCGTCTTATATGTGGTCGCCTTATATGTGGTCGTCTTCCATCTTTCCGGACCTGCCTCTGACTTGAATCACTTTCTTCCTCACCTCTCTCGTGAAGTGCCTCTCATGCATGTCCCCTCGCTGCCAGGCACGGGAGGTGTTGCAAGAAGAGCTGGTGGGCGTGAGGGGATGGCTGGAGGCACGGCAGAGGGAGAGGCGCGAGAGCGAGGAGAGGGACGCGCAGGCGAGGAGGCAGCAGCAGCAGGCGGCTATGGCACAGCAGGAGGAGGTGCGCACTGGGTGGGGGCCGGGTGTCTTTCAAAGGCAACAGCACCACATGCACCATGACTCATGAGTTGTGATTTGTGAATACCGACACGTGCATGTGCCCTCTGTGCTTATGCGCAATAATCGCCCTGCTCCTTCAGTCTCACCATGCCTTCACCATACCGGCATCCGCCCACCTTCATCTCTCTGCACCATCTCCGCCCCATCTTCCCACCCCCCCCCCCTCCTTTGTCCCTCTCCCCTCCCCCCCCCCCAGCTGAAGGCAGTGCAGCGCTACACAGCAGCGGCCTCGCAGGCCCTCGACTCGCTGCTGCTCTTCCTGCACTGCCACTCCGCCCGCCTGCCCGCCACACCACCACTGCCCCCCGCCTCTACCCCCACCACGGGCCCAGGCGTGGATGGTGAGGGCGGGGGGGCGTGGCGGCAGGAGGTGGTGGCGGCGGTGATCCGCGAGGCGGCCACAGCGGTGGCGGATGCACAGGCGGCGGAGGCGGAGGTGGAGAGGTGGCGGCGGGAGGCGGAGTGCGGGCAGGCAGAGGGCAACCCGCATGACGGGGAGCGGCGGCGGCTGGTGGAGATGCTGGGGGAGGCACGGGGGGAGGTGGAGGCGGTGGAGGGGGAGGTGGATGCGGGGGAGGCGCAGCTGGGCGTGATGAAGCAAGTGGACGCCGCCTTTGGCCTCGCTGGCGTGCAGGTGGGGTTGGGTGGGGTGGGGTGGGGTGGGGTGGAGGGTGCGGAGGTGCTGGTTTTAGATTCTAATGATACCAGCCCGCAATTCCCCCTTCCCTTCCCACTCCCACCCACTCCCACACCCCCTCCCTTTCCTTTCCTTTCCTCCCCCCCTTTTCCCGCAGAGCTTTGTGTTGGAGGGCGCCCTGTGGGAGCTGGACGCCCATGTGGCCCGCTACCTCGCTGCACTCTCAGGGGGCGCGCTGCTCCTGCACCTCTCGCCCACCCGCGCCGCCGCCACTGCCACCAAGGCCGCCCGGGGGAAGAAGACAAAGAAGGCCAGTGGGACGGGGAAGAGCAGGGTGGCGGATAGCAGCACAGACTCGGAAGCGTCGAGCGACAGTGGGGGAAGTGAAAGGGGAGAGGGGGACGAGGAGGGGGCAGCAGAGGAGGCGGGAAATGGCAGCGGGGGGGAGGGGCAGGTGTTGGAGAGGATAGACAAGAGTGTGCGCGTGCGCCTGGCCTCAGGGGAGCTCGTCCCGCGGGCGCTGCGCCAGCTCAGCGGGGGGGAGCGGCGCCGTGTGGCGCTGGCCCTGGCGCTGGCGTTTGCTGAGCTGGCGGCGGAGCGCAGTGGCGTGCGCTACGACCTGCTGGTGCTGGACGAGGTCTTCCAGGCACGCCGCTGCTCCCTTCCGCCACCACTCCCCCTCTTCCTCCCCTCGCCCTCCCTCTGCTCCTTTTCCTGCTCCCCACTTTACTCCTGTTCCACTCTCTTTCGTCCATGGATGACGCAACATTTCCCCGTGCTTTGCTATGGATGACGCAACATTTCCCCGTGCTTTGCTATGGATGACGCAACATTTCCCCGTGCTTTGCTATGGATGACGCAACATTTCCCCGTGCTTTGCTATGGATGACGCAACATTTCCCCGTGCTTTGCTATGGATGACGCAACATTTCCCCGCACACGGGGTACACTCCTACATGTTTCATCAACGTTTTTCACTCTCCTGCTCTTTCATCCTCCCCGGCCAACAGCATCTGGACGACGAGGGCGTGGCGGCGGTGGCAGAGGTGCTGCGGTCGCTACCGCAGCGCACGGTGGTGGTGGTGTCGCAGGCCAACAGCCGGGAGGCACTCGCAGAGTTTGGCGTGGTGGACTGGGTGGTGAAGCGCAACGACGTGGCCACCGTGGAGCTCGCTCACATGTAGCTGCTGTTGGGAACAAACAATCTTAAACGCCTCTGTCGTGTCGAAACACCAAGGCACAAGCGAAGCAGAGCATATCGAGGCACCAGCGAGTCAACCCTCGGAGGTTGAAGTAACCGCTGGAGGTTACGCGAAAGTCAAAGGTCAGCGACCTTTGACTTGACAAATGCAGCGCGACAGCAAGGACACACAACTGACTCGACATTGAGCAGTTGCCCGAGTCGCACTGTATCGAACCGCAACAGTAAAACAGTTTAATTATATCTCTTCATATTCTTTGTACTCTTACATAAACCTTTGTACCGTAAGCCCCCGGATAGAAGCGCAGGCCTCGGATAAGCGCCGGCGCTTATAAAAGGATGAGGGCGCTTGTATCCGGTCCTCGATTATAAGCGCACCTCTGAAGGCTTACGGATTATAAGCGCCACCCTTTTTTTTCTAACTATAATTTTACTGAATTCATCGTAACAAAACTCAACATCTCCATTCCCACATTTTGAATTTCGATGCCCTTCACCCTCGCTCGGCTCACTGCCAGCGCGTCCAGTCAGAATGAGCTGTCAGGGGTGCACGTTGACTCATTCTGACTATGTGTGATGGCAGGGAATCAATCCCTGCCAACTTGCAAGCGAGATTCTCAATCGCAACCCTGTATAGTTTTGACTCGATTCAACTCGCGAGAACGGGATCTACAGTTTGGTGTACAAACGAAAATTTTTATATATGCCATTATATAAGCCCCGGCGCTAATAAAAATCCTCGATTATAAGCCCACCCCCTAAAAAAACGTGTTTTTTTATAACCTCAGGGGCGCTTCTGTCAGAATCCCAACCACAAGACCATTGGGATAAAAGGGCTTGTTTTAGTAGCGGGTCAGTGCGCCCATAACCCCCCAGGCAAACGCGTCTGTAACCCCCCCTAGGATCGATCGGGGATCCTACAGTGTAGCTCTACTGACAGCTTCTATCCGGGGGCTGACGGTACTTGCTTGTTTTAATCAACTTACTTTGCCCTCACATACCAGCGCAACATGGTTCAAGGACTTCATTTAAACGCTTCCGCTACTACATCACCCTACCCAGTCTTTAACCCTACCAAAGATCCTAAGGGGCACTCAGCCCAACATGGTATGAGAGCTCGTTAGGGTTAAATTTATTTCTCCTTAACACCTAATACACCAAGAGACATGTCTACCAGAAAGGAGAGGAGCTCCTCCAACGACTCTCCTGGTACTACTCCTACTCCACCTCCTGCCTCTGGCCTACAGACAGAGGAAGGCACAACAACGAGACCGGCAGTTGGGTCTACTGAAACACCTGCGAACCAAGGCGCGGGCTTCGATCCAAGCATGATGGAGAAGTTACTCTCCTTCATGTCCTTCTACGAGCAGCATCAGCAAGGAGCACCTGCGCAATCAAACAACAGCAACAACAACAACAACGTGACGCCCATGAGTCTCGATGGCTCATCCTACGCACGCGGGAATCAACAACAACTACCTACCTTCGCTCCGTACGAGCCCTAGCGCGGCTCCGTCAGCTTTATGCCACAACCACAACCTGCACCGGGACAAGAGAGAACGCTGGACGCACTACAAGTTCAGTCGCAGTTCGCGCACGTTCTAAAACTGCAAACGACAAAACCCTTCGACGAGAAGGATTTCTTTACCTGGTCGTTCGAATTCGAGCTGACGATGGAAGGAGCGCAAATCCTTGGCTTCTTCGACGGGTCCCTGCCATACCCAACAAATGGCACACAGTATGAGAAGCAGCAGTACACCTATCAATCGATGATGGCGTACACGATACTACTGAGGAACGTCACTCCAACTCAACAACAAAACATACGGTCCTACGAGGCTACGGCAACTCCGCGGAGCTCGCGTACAATCACTTGAAGAGCTTGTATCAAGCAACAGACAGCGTAAACCAAAGTTGGTTAATGGCGCAGCTGACAACAATCGAAATGAAACCAGGCGAGAAGGGAATGGCGTATATCAGTCGCTGCCGCGAGCTGCGCGACAAGCTTCTTCGATGTGGAGGATCGATTTCAGAGGACGCCTTCGTCACGGTTGTCATCGGCGGTCTTGGTCCTCACTGGCGCTCCACTCACGCCATACTACGAGCCCACGGGAAAATCTCTGAAGCAGCACTTTGCGCTGAGATCCACGCCGAGCAGCAAGACATGGACCTGCAAGAAGAACGACACAAGAGAAAGGTATCAGTGCCCGAATTCGCGTTTCACACTCAACGGCGCCACAACAACAACAACAATCGACCGAAAATCGTACCTCCGTTCTGCCACCTCTGCAAGACTTCAGGGCATCCTCGTACGCACTGCCCGAATCGACAAAAGTCAACGTCGCCGCAACGCCAACTTCGCCCTTCAAGCAGTCAAGTCGCCTCAACGCAAGCAAATCCGACAACTTCAGTACAAGTCTCAACAACATCGACGGGACAACCTGCGAAAGGAACAAGAAACATCGTCAGCTGCATGGCAAGGCTGAGTGACTCCTGCGTAACTGAGTCACCACCATATTACTCACCAGAAGAACAACTCGACAACAGCACGCCTCGCCGCGAGTCACTTCAACCGAACCCAACGTACGCCGCCATCGCTCAAAGCGAGCCGTCCGGGAAGGATACATGGTTCTTGGACAATTGCTGCGGACAACATATGTGCTCTTTAGGACGTTTCGTTCAACGCGAGCGCCAACTTCAACGAGAAGTCTCACTGTTGCCAATAAACAGAACCTCCGCACACGACGACAAGGAGTAGTGCAACTTCAGTCACGAGAGACGAATGTCATACTGCAAATGTCCAAAGTCCTAATAGCAGAAGGACTTGGCTACAAATTACTGAGCGTCAGTCAGTTGATGGCGAAAGGCATACATCTGGAAGCCGACAGTACCACCCAGGAGTTCAAGCTGTACCACGGGAAGGGCGGCCTCTACATCGGAAAGGCGGTCCTGAAGAACAATGTCTTCGTTCTCGACTTCGTCCCAGACCTGGGCACCGCAGACAGTGACGGGTTCGTCACCTTCACATCTTGGACGCACCCGTCGGATCTCGACCCCGACTTCAGTCCGGAAGGCTTTTGGTATTCACATACCATTCCTGAAGCAGAACGAACACGTGCGTTAGCAAGGGCGTGTAAAATCGGCAGACACAAATATTCGGCCACAAGCCGACTGGCCGAATTGGCGAAAGTAACACATTCACAAAATTAACGAGAACGGTTGCAAAAGTCGCAAATTTCGCTAATGTCATTCGAATTTGATGGTCGTAAAAGTGGTCGACTCGGCTTTCAACATCGAGTCGACTCGAAATCAGCCACGTTCCCGCCCCGTCGTTGCGACGTTGACAGCAGGTGTCGCAAGACTCCGCATGCGACGCCGTGGTCGAGCTTAGAGTGGCGTGGCAATATCGGGTGCACATGTGCGACTCCGTCGCACAATTCGGCCATTTGAAAGTTTACAACTTCCTGGAGTCGGCCAGCAATTCGGCCTGGAAAGTTGAAAAATTTGCAGACTTGCAAATACTGGCCGGTTATTGGCCGACTCTAATTCGGCCATCTGGTCGACATGTGCGAAAGAAGTGTCGACCATTTGGACGACAAAATCCCGGCCAAACCCAATTTTTCAGAATGCTCGCCGATTTTACACGCCCTAACAATACAACATTCGGCAGCAGCGGAGACAACATCGGCAGCAGCAGAGACAACATCGGCAGCAGCAGAGACATCATCGGCAGCAGCAGAGACATCATCGGCAGTAGCAGGAACAACAACAGTAGCAGCAACAATGACACCAGTCCTCGTTGACGAAGCACCACCAACACCCGCACAGCAGCTGAATCCGGCTCAGCGGGAAATCCATAGAAGCGCAAACTTCACCGCTAGCTTCTACTCCAACTCCGACGCGTATCGACGATCACCCGGACACCGCGCCTCCGAAGACATCTGGCACGCACGCATGGGACACCCAAGCAACACTATGTTAAACAACACAATAAGAGCAGGAGTCCTTGACAAGGACTCGTTACTACTACTCGACGGCAGAGAACTTCAACGGGCACGAGGAACATGTCTTACCTGCCCCAAAGCCGACTTACCACATCGGCCGTTCACTCCTCATCACAACCCAAGCGCACCCGCGTACGCACCACTCCACTCGAAAAGGTGTATAGCGATATCCTGTACAATCGGGAACCAAGACAAGTAATATACAACTACACAATCACCTTCATCGACGCCGCCACCCGTTACTTCTGGCATCTAAACCTACCCAGCCGCGACATGGTCCTCGAAGCATTCGCTGCTTGGCTACCAGTAGCAGAAAGAGAGTCGGGCGTAAAGCTGAAAAGCTTCCAGTCTGACGGAGGAGGAGAATACACCTCTCAGCGATTCAAGCAGTACCTGGCGGAAAGGGGAATCAAGTAGCTCCTCTCTCTCTTCCCTACGCCCATCAGCAGCAAGGTGTAGCAGAAAGAATGAACAGGACTCTGCAGAACAGCATGCGCAAACTGTTGCGTGGCATGCAGCTACCCAACCACCCGTGGCCTGACGTGATGGACCACGCTGTCATGCTGCACAACTTGCTCTCATCTTCATCACTACCGAACAACGCATCACCGCATCTGCTGTGGATAGGGAAACAGGGCAGCACAAAAATGTTACGAGTGTTCGGATGCATGGTACAGTACCGACCCCCTGCAGCACGAGCGGGCCGATTTTCACAACGTGCACAGTGGGGACTACACCTCGGCATCGAAAAGAACTAGAACGCGTGGAAAATCTTTGACGTCCACTCCAAGGAAACAGTAGCAGCATGCGACGTCATTTTCTACGAACGACTTACGCTCCAGACATACCTTGCCAACCTGCAAGAAGACCAAGATACCACAAGTGGTTTTCGTGGTGACCGAGCCTTCGCCTCGGCAGCAGACGAAGCTGATTGGGACGAGCAGAATGTGGCCAACGCATCAGAAGAAGCTGGACCTCT